TATAATATTATATATATATGTATTCTAAGTCTATGGACTGAATTCATGTTGAAACCCTGAATCCCAGGGTGACTGTTCTTGAAGAACAGGACTTTAGGAAGCAACAGAATTTAATTGAAGTCACATGAGTGGAGCTTTAATCCAGTAAGTTTCTTTGTCTTATAAGACGATGAAAAGAGAGGCTTCCCTGTGTCCACATTGCACCCTAAAGACAGGCTACCTGTGGACAAACTTGGAAGCTAGTGTCTGTAACCCAGGATGCATGTCCTCTCAGAAGCCAGCCAGAGTGGTTCCTTCATCTCGGGCTTCTGGCCCGAGAACTGTGAGGAAATGGATCTTGTTTTATTGGTCTATGGGCCACTGCTGTTGCTGCCCAATGAGGGCTTTCTACTAAATTTAATTTTAATTTATATTTCTGAAAGACTTGAAAAGTTGGAATGATTCCAGAGACTGTCTCTTCCCTCACAGAGATGATATCTGAAGCATCATGAAGTGTGAAAACAGTATTTGAAAGAAAGAGAAATATAAGCACTAAACAAAGGGAGGCTACACTGTTCAAGAAGCAAGAGGAGACTCCGGGGGCAGGGGAAGCTCAAAGGGGTCGGGAAATCCCATAGAGTTTGTTGAACTTGCTTGCTAGAGCACATGTCAGTTGGTTATGCTAAGAATAAAATTTGTATGAATCTATATATATGTTAAATTTGTATAAGTTATATATACATATACACATACATACATATATAGTGTATGTATGAGCATTTGTCTCTGGGTTTGAGAAATAAACAGAGGATAGAGAGAGAGAGAGTGTGATTGAGAAAAGAAGATGGGTAATAGGGGAGAGAGGAGAGGGAGTTTTATATACTAAAAAGCAAAATTTTGGAAAGCACATTCTCCTACAAAAAAGAAACAGAGAAATACTGTTGTTTAAGAGGCTAGCAAAAAAGCACTATTTTTAAAAAGAAGTGTTCCATTGACATAGTCCAAAATCTTAAAGACACATATGAAGTTTCATTAATATTTTTTAATTTTTAAAAGAATTATGTTTATTCTTTTAAATTACATGTATTGTGTGTGTGTGTCTGTGCCCTTGAGTGCAGGTGCCTGTAGAGGCCTGTGGCTTTGGATCATCTGCAGCTGGAGCTAGAGGCAGTTGTGAGCTACCTCACCTGGGTGCTGGGAACTCAACTCATGTTCTCTTGTATACCTGCAGTGCTCTTTATTGCTGTCTTTTGGGGAGCTGAAGAGATGGCTCAGTGGTTAAGTGCACTCACTGCTTTTACAGAGGGCCCGAGTTCAGTTCCCAATACCTGTGTCTGTCTGGCAGCTCACAACTGCCTGTAACTCTAGCTTCAGGGAATCCAATCCCCTCTTCTGGCCTCCATGGGCACTGTCCAACACATAACATACACATGCACACACATAAATAGAAATAAATCTTTAAACAAATTTGAAGCAATGATTTGTACGGATCTACTTCATAGCTTGTTCAACAAAGAAAAGTGTCATTTTCTTTGGAAAAGAAAATCAGCAGTAACAACTTAGATCAACCTTTTTTTAATAAGTTGCAAAATGTTCATAACCATATTTGTTGGGTAAGCTTGATTTTTTTTAACACTTAGATTAAGATTAGAAAAATGTGAATGCAGAAATAAAAAAATTGAAAAATAAATTGGCATTGTACTAAAATATGCAAATTTACTTGTTGAATAGCTAGTGCATGAATTCACATTTAACAATGCTGAAGGTTTGGAGAGAGGCAGGACCTTCCCAGAGGGCCTTCACCTTGGAAACCTAACACTCCCACCTTGGTCCTCTCAGCATGCTCCACATTATCTGAAAGCAGATTTCCCAGGTCTGACCAAGGACACACAGAGACCTAGAAAACACTGGAGAACAGTGGCTTGAAATTGTTCTAAGTAACTCAGGGTTACCATAGTGATGTCTTGGGAAGATTTTAAATCATTTCATGGCTTAAGTAAAGCCACCAGGTTCTGGCTTTGAACCTGAATCTCCTTAAAGATGCCTGTTTCATTTTCATTTCTATATACTTGGACTCTATATATAACTTCATTTTTAGCATCTACTAATAACAAGAAAAATATAAACTGTTATTTTCGATATTTGCCACTGTATATTCCCTTAGTAGCGATAATTTCGATGGAATTATTTTTAACATCAAACATATGTAGTTTATGCCTTCAAAAGAACCTATAACTATGTGTCCTAGGGCTGGTATACTTTAAGAAGCTTCTATTGAAATTCAAGGGGCATCCTACCTGAGTGACAAAGGACTGTTTAGAAAGCCACTTGAAGAGCCTTGTTCAATGCACGTAGTGACCACAGCCTTGGCCAAGACATGTTCTGATTGGGGGCATGAGAAGAAGAGTGTCCTTAATACAGAACAAGGTACGTATCTCAGCCTGGGCACTGGGCAGGAACGCATTATTAAAGCACTATTAAAATCACTGAGTGTTAATAAAAAGTTCTATAAGTTTCTACTGTAAGCACTTCTTCCAATGTTCAATTTTCTATAACTAAGCGAGAACACAATACACCATGACAGAATTTTGAGAAGCCCCTCTTGTACTGGGCAGCCTTGAGTTAAAGGCAT